TTCTTTTAATCACAAGGAATTTATTAACCTCGGTCTCACACTGGAAATGCCCAATTAAACTGCACAGACAAGTGTGCCCCAGCTAGCACTGAGGTTTCAGTCACCTGAAGACAGGTGACTACTGCTGATAGCTTATTATAAATATATAATATAATGCATAAAATGGATGAAACATCTCAGGAGCTAACTTTGCTTTTCAAACTTCTATGGAAAACTGACCAAAAACAAGAAGGATACATCTCTTTTACAAATTTCTAGATAAAAGAGGGTAAAAGTAGGAAGATTCACTTCAGGTCTCCTAAATGATAAGGATAAAACATGAGATATAAACCTTCATCATACAGCTTTATTTTTATCTGGGTGTTTATATAAATTCTGATATAAATAAACATCAAAGTAATAAAATTACCTCATTATACCTACTAAACTGATATATGGAGATTCAGAGTTAATAAAGTTAAAAGATTCTAAGTAATGCCTTTTACTTGAAGAACTTATGTTTCTAACACAATACAATATTATTTAAAACACTGAAAATTTCAAAAACAAACCTAATCCTTTACAAGTTTGATAATAAAACTTATTCAAAACCAAAATCAACTTTCCACCTTTCCTCAAAACAAATTCTTAAAATTAAACCAAACCAACTTCATTTACTCGTCTGTGGAGAAGGCACAGTGCCGGCAGATTGGTATACATATACTGATGGGTCAGATTTTAAAAAATAAAACAAGTGAATTTGGAAAGAGTAAAAATACCCAGGAATTATTATTAGGAAAAAAATTATTTCTTTCTATTTAGCCACATAATATATGATCTACACTGCCAGAGATTTGGGTGTGTTAACCTAGAACTCACATCACTTTTGCAACTTCAAGATTACACATGAACAAAACTAAATGTTGTCAATTATCTGCTACACTCACATTAAGTATTACAAATCCCTACAAGAATAGAAAAAGTCCAAAGAAAACATATGATTAGGATAAAATTGAGTAAATCCCAGCTGAATTGTAGAGGTATGTTTTCTTGTAAAAGAATACATTTTAAATTGGTGATGCTCAAACTTCAACGGCAGCAAAGCACTAAGTGAGGAGAATCAGTATTCTTAAAGTGTGCTGGTTGTATTTGCCACCGTTCCATCTATTAATGCCAACCAGTAGGAGACATCTTTAATTATCCTAGCATCATTGTTGCAACCGGTCGAAGGAATTCAACAACTTTTCAATATATGACAATATTTGAAAGAATATTCTCATTGGAAGCAACAAACTGTTTATAGCATGCTTCATTCAGATAAAGTGGGATGTTCTTAAGATTGATAATTAGTATCTTTGTAAGAGTAGCTACTTTGGGAGAACGTAAATAAAGTTTTATTACTGAAGGACTTTTTAAAAGTTACGTAAAAGCTTTCTTAAAGAAGTCAAGGACAAACAGTTATATTCTCTTTGATTTGGATTTTCTTTACTCCAAGTTACTTAGTAGCATGCCAGTTTAGGACTCAGCATAACATTAAAAAGATAATTCTATTACTCTCACTATGTAGGCAAAACTCATACAGTTGTGTGGTTTTGGGTTTTTTTGTTTGTTTGTTTAATTTTTAAAATATGAAAGATGCATTTAGGCAAATGTTATCATATATTTCTATTCAGACTGATAGTTTTCAGTTACTACTTCAGAAATTTGTGCCAATTCAACACATGAAATTAGTTTGGCCCACTGCCCAATAAATACTGGCAACTAAAAAGTTATCAGTATTTGAAAATTGAACATCCACTTCCCAGAAGTGAATACCTGAGAAGATAGATTCTAATAGTAAAACTCTCTGACAGCAAATAAATTCAGTATTTTTTCTTTATGAATCTAAATCAATGCATGCTTATAGTATCAATGAAGTCAGTAATGAAACCCAATGTAGCGAATAAACTCCTATGACTACACCAGTTACAATATAAAATATTGAAATCCTGTGATCAAGATGTGATTGTTAATTCTAATTTTATCTAAACATAATTTAAATTGAAGTCCACTGGTATAAATTGAAGTCCATTGGTATAAGTGAAAATATATTTACTTCACTTGTACAGTGTCATTAGCGGCTTAATGTGTTGTCCCCTGAACTTTGAGTCTTTAACAGAGAAAAAAATATTTTAATCTATTTAAGTTGCCATTAAAGTTTTCAACTTTTTTCCAAAAGATTGAAGTTTTGATTATATTATTAGTTTAGCAAAATCTTAAAAGATAGGATCTATGCAAAACCAAAAGGTATGGCTAAATTACCTTTGTAATGATAACATATAAAAGGGAAATGTAAAACACTGAAGTTAGTAAACTGGTGCAAATGTTCTGAAATACTTATTCACTATCTTTTGTGATAAACTGTGTTTATTTCCAAATTACTTATTTTGCATTTGGCTCCTTTTAAACTACATCTAAGCAGACTTCTTTTGATGACTCAAAAAAGCACCATCGTATTTAACTCTTCAGAGATAAATCTGCCACCCAGATTTATAAAATAATATTATTTTTAAAGTAGGTTTTAGTGTAATAACATAGCAAGATGAATAAGTTCACAAACCCCTAAGAATTCAAAAGTTAGGGCTGAATCTCTTGGGAAAGGAGGTATGTTATTCTTTCTTTTTAACATTATCAAACTGATAATGACCAAATAAAAAGGTATTTCCACGAACCTCACGTTAGAATACTGACTTGAGAATACTCCTGGACTTTTATAATTCTACAGATTAACTTTGTCTGGGCTGGTTCAAAGCTACCATGGCCTCCTGAGCAGAAGAGTGTTCCGCAGACAGGGCATATCTATTAAAAACATGACCTGTGACAAAAATCAATGTGCTAATCTTAAACCAAACAACAGTATCAAAAGCATAAAACAGAGATAACCTAAGATAAAATGTCCTCAAACTAACTCAGACTAGCTTGACAGGTTAAGAAGGAGGGGTAGACCTGGGGTATGGTTGCTTATTTCTGTTTTAACCCAGATGACTGGATCATCCAAGTATCCAAATAAATTAATGAGGAAAAGATCACACTGTGAGGTTTGAATGGGAAAGAAAAGACGACCAGGAGCAAAATGTCCCAAATTCAACTAATCAATTTCACTGTTATTTTTATTTAATAAGGCGCTAAAGTTTACAAATATAAATTCCACCCTTTCGTCTATGCTGTCTAATAAAGCCCAAAAGGGAATAAAACCAACCAGCATAATGAGGCTTGCTTTTAACACCATCACAACTGGAAAGCTTGCTCTATTTGTCTTGTCAGCTTTAATAAAAGGCATTTCCTCTGGCAGGATGGCTTCTTTTTCTCTTTTTCTAATAGTGGTAAGTGGCATGTCAAAGAAGAAATAGCTTTCCATCCCACCACCCACCTCCACAAGACTGTTTTTTTTTTTTTTTCTTCTGTTTTTTTTTTGTAAGCCAAACTTTCAGGGATGTTCCCAATTCTTCCAGGCGAGCAATTAGGGCTTGGTCTACCTGGGTGCGCCTATCTTTCCTGGGGTAGCAGGACTGGGGGAACTCTTTCTACGTTCGGCAACCGGTGCACCGCTTGTGGGGAAGTCTGCCCATCTTCACCTGAGCTGACATTACTGCAAGTGGGGAATCCCTCCCATGCCTGCAAGAGGGAGGAAGGCGGGAGGACCGCGGAAAGGTCCACTGGGAGGGAGGAAGCACTGGAAGCGCCTCCAGACCTCTCTCCCCAGGCGACCTGGGCGCCAGCAACCATAAACTCTCCCCCTTGGAATCCCGCCACTCTCGCCAACTTCCACTCCAGCCCAGGGAAAAAGCTGAGATTTGGGATATAATCGATGCTATTTCCCTCCTGGGCGGGCACTGAGGCCAGCCCACAGCTGGAAGCTGGCCTCGGTCCCGGAAAGGCAAAGCAATTTGGATCCACTGGGGCAGACTCCTGCCCACAGGCCTGGGAGAAAGCAGGGCTCGGAGGCTCGGAGCTGTTCTGGATCGGGAGGGGTCCGCCTGGCACTCTGGACAACAACCACTCCAACCCCACATTCAGTGTCCGTGAACAAGGGGTGTCGGTGAACAAGGGACGTCTGCTGGTGGCCACGGTCCAGCAGCTGCACTAGGGCGGCCCCAGGCGCCAACCCCTAGCCTCCCGCGCACACATCGGGCTTTGGAGACCGCAGCAGAACGGTTTCAGGTAACGCGTGTGCTCCTCCGGCTGCACACAGCCAGGCCGCGGACGAAGGGCTCCCACCGCCCTGCTCCGCCAACTCCAGCAGCTCTCTCTGCACACATGATGTAACCCCGCATTAGATCAAACTTTCTGGCACCTTGAGCCCACCCAGGGGTGGAGGAGGTGGGACAATCTTCTCCACTGCCAAGTGTGCCGGGCCCAGACTGACCCAGGGGCCAGATAATTTCCTCGCAGTTAAAAAGGAAAATAACCTAAAGCTTCCGCTTCCCAGCCCCCCTCATTTCCCCCAGCCTGTGCGCTCTTCGAGCGCACCGAGAAAATAAAAATAAAAAAGAAAACAGAAAAAAAAAAAAAACTTTGGGTTTGTTTGGCCGGTCTCCCTGTAATCCCTGCGCACCTAAACTGCAGACCGTAGCTCCTGGCGGGCGCACCCGGGGCTGCCAGTGCCCAAGCCCTGCGCCGGTTTCGGGATGTTGGCCAGCCTGCCCGGGCGGGTAAGCGGGGAAAGTCTTGACTCCCCGGCTCCCGCCTTTTCTGAGTCTCCTCACTCTCTGCAGAGGCAACCGGTCTGGTTAGACCCGGGTACTCCCAGGGGCGCCCGGCCTCTCCGCGGTGGTTTAACAAAGAGTGGCGCAACGGGAGCGCTTCCCGCCGGCGCCTCGAAAGCCATCAGCGCCCGGACGACGTAGGCTCCGAGAGTGCGCGCTGCCGGCGGCCGGTGCGCGCCGATCCCCGCTGACACTGCCACTCCTTCCACAGGGCCCCGAGGCCCGGGTAGCCCCGAGACCCGAGTAGCCCTGACTCTTTGCCCCCTATGGCCTTACCTAGGGTTGCTGCTGTTCCAATAGACAGCGTAGCGGTCCGCGACGGCCTTGGAGCCCGGGTCCTGGCTGAACACACACATCCAGAGCACCAGAAACATCAGCGTCAACATCTCCACGTGCAACATCACGCCTGGCCAGCGGCGGAGCCCCGGACGCGCCACTCCGGGGATATAGCAGGGATCCGGAGAGGGGGTGGGGGAAGGAGAGAGCAAGAGCGAGAAAGTGGGAGCCAAATAAATATGAATAAATAAAAATGAAGAGGGATGAGAAAAGAAAAAGGCACACAACAGGCTGGGGAGGGGGTGGAGAGCGAGAAGAAAAGAGGCAGTGGAGTGGATGGGCGAAATACAAACTCGCACCCCCCACTAGAGGGTTCAGAAGGAAAAAAGAAATCACAAGATGGAGAGAAGCATGCAAGTGTGTGGTGGCGGCGGCGAGGGCGGGGTAAGGGGTGCCAAGCTGTTCTAGGGCGGCGGCGGCTGGCCGTTCACCCCGGGAGAAGGAGGTGCGCGCTTGGCCGAGCGACGGCAGCGCGGGTCGGGGCAGGCGGCGGCGCACGCTGCACAGTCACCGGGAGCTGCGCGCCGCGGCCGCGGGGAGACATACACTGGCCCGCCGGGCCCGGCTCAGCGTAGGCTGCACAGGTCTCCGCCGCCCAGGGCTCTCGCACTGCGCCCCGCTTCGCTCCAAGTTACTTTGGCGGCCGGTGGGAAACTGCAGGAGGAGGGCTCCTTGTGGATGGGGGACTTCACGCTGATGGACTCCTCTGTGCCTTAACTGGCAACCCCTAGAAATCTCGGAGGAGTCGTAGGTGTTGCGGATTCGGGGTGGTGCGCTGAGAAGGGTGGGGATCCAGAGCCACAAACCCAGCCCCGCCGGCGTCCTGGAACTGGTTAAGCGGCAACTAAGCTGGCGAGGAGTGATCGTGCCTCGCAAACCTCAAAAAAAAAGTTTGGCTCTCGGTGTCTTCCAGCAGGTCCCCGGTTGAGTCGGACTGCGGCGGCGGCGGCGGCGGCGGAGGCGGAGGCGGTGGCGACGACACCGCAGGCGCTGGCCTCGGGGATTTCTCGCGCGTGCTTTTCTCAGCCGGGTGTGGGTGTACCAGAGTGAATGAAGAGCAGAGGTTACCACTAGCCAGCCAGTAGGAGCTGGAATGCCCAAACCTGCAGGACGATGCCAACCCAGCAGCTCGGATGGAGAGCGGGAGGGGAAACAATCACTTTAAAATGAATCCCTCCAACTCCTGGATGGGCTGATGTCAGTCTCCGATCGCCTTCCGGGAGCAAGAATGAGCCCCCAGACGCAGTGCCAAGAGCCCGGAGTTGAGCTCTCAGAAGTGTCCCTGCGACTCCGACGGGTTCGGCCCCAAGCCCAGCAACTTGTAGAGACGCATCAATCAGTTTGAAATGGAAAGAGAGGAGAAAAAAAAAAAAAAGCGCACCAGCGAGTGGCACCTCCCCGATGACTACATCAGAAAACCTTTCCGATCCTCCCGCAGCTGCTCCCCTTTTCCCTCCTTAGACACAGCAGCAACAAGAGATGAAAACCACCAACCGAATCCTAAAACCCCTGTCAGGCGGGAAAATAAACTTGAGTGCAGCAGCCGCAGCCCGGGCAGCCCGGGAGGGATTGAAACGACTGGCGAGAAGTGGAAAGGGGTAAAAGTCAGTTTTGCAAAAGAGGGGGGAAAAAAAAGGGAAAAAATGCTTTATGGGAAAAATCTCCTCGGGCACGCCCCCTCGTTAATGACCTGCGTGTAAAGCCGACAGCAGCGGCGACCCAGCAGCTGCACGAGAGCGCAAGGCGGCACGAGTGAACGTGGACGTGGGCGGCGCGGGAGTGGGGGCGGGCGTGTAACGCAGGGCGCGGGGCAGGCGTTCGGCGCGAGCACGGGTGTGAGCTCTGTACCGAGCAGGGGGAGGCGCCGCCAGCCAGCGCTGCTGCTGCCAAGGCCCGGGTCATGTGGGCTGCTCCCGTTGGCCCCCCCTTCCCCCCAGCAGTTTACTTGGGAAGGTGGGTGCCTGGAGCAGCCAGTCAAGAAACGGCCTGCTGTTTGCTTACAGATAGAGGTTTTTTTCCTCTCTCTTAACGCCAACCGGATTGGTGGCTCCACGAGAAAGAGGCGTTTTCCTAATCTCCTCCCTTCCTCACGCCTCCTACCCCCTCCCCGGCCCCACCTACCTTCTGACTAATTGAATTACTGGGAGTGCCGAGGCGCCCTCTCCTCCGCCCCAACCCAGCAGTCTCGCGTAACCCTTTGGATGCTGAATTCCGTCCGAGCTGAGGAATGATTTGACATATTTTCACCTGAGTCGGGTATTTCAATTACAAAGGAACCGGTTCTCACCCGGTAGCCGGAGAGCGGAAATCTGTCTCCCAGACCCCTCAGGTGACAGAAAGTCCCTGCAGACCCGCTGGCAGAAAGCCTCGGTGAATTTGTGTTCTTGTAAATCTCTGCCCTGGTCTTCACGAGCAATTGCCCGGTGCTGTGTTATCTGGGGAGCTGAGCATCTCTCCTGTGCCTTTCAATTCCCCGCTTCATACTAGGGATTTTAAAGGTTCGTGAGCAAGTCTTTCCATTAAAGTGGTGAGCTCTGAAAACACTTTTTTTTTTTTTAAATCAAGAGCATCACAGCGTATGTAGAGTGATTCCATCCAATGCGAACCTTCAGCAGGGAGGAAATGAATGCGGCAGGGGAGCCCATCAGAAATATGTTCCACATTTTCCATTTCAACCCCGAGGTTGGTTCGCTACCCACTCCCCAAAGGATTAATGCTTTGAACAAAGTCGATAAGGGAAGACATCGGGGAACAAGTTCCCTTATTGGAAAAGGCCTCGCGTTCCCGGACTTCTAGAGCAGGTTGTAGTACTTCGGCCTCCGGCCACCACCGAAGCGCGTTTGCCTGACTGCGAGGCGGAGCCAGCGCCCCGGGACGCGTGCCCCTGTCCTCCAGCGCCCGGGAAGCTGGCCAGGCGCCGGGCTCAGTGGGCTAGAAACCCTGGAGACTCGCCCTCGCGGGGCTCCGCGGGCTCGGCCTGCGTGGTATTATTCATTCTCTCCTGCTCTCTAGGGAGTTTGCTGCCTCTGTGGAAAAAGACTGATCCCAAGAAAGAGAACAGTTTAGTTTTTCTCTGAAAGTTGTCTGTTCTCCCTTTTATTAGCCCAATACAATCGAGTATCACGATATCTGTCCGGCGCTTTCCAGTCCTGGAGCTCGGCATTTCCAGGAGCTTCGGAGCTGTTTGGAAGCGTCCAGACGCCCTCCAGTGGTGGGCCTGCAGTGCGCACCCAGCGCGGGCATTGCCCGCAGCTCAGCCGGATTGAGTTTGATGGAGAATCTGGGATCATGATCAATCAAGACTTGTGGGAAAGGGAACAGTTCACACTGGCATGGAATTACCTGGCTGTTATGGGCCCTTGCCTGATAATTGAGTAGTTTCTCAAGTGCTGAGATTTTTCCCACCTGAAGAGATCCTGAAATTGTCCCAGGAAAGTAACACTTCTGTTTGTGACCAGACATTAATTACCATCTGTTTAAATAGACACTAGGATAGATCACCCAAACAAACAAACCACCTTTTTAACTTAAAAAAAAAAAAAGCGAATTCAGAATATTAACCCAAATGTTTCTTTCTATTTCACACAATTCCAGCAGTGAGAAAGAAGTGGGGAAACTTACACTAGAGAACCAAAGGATACTCTTTTATTTTTTAAATCAAATTTTTCCTTAAAAAGTTATTTACTTTTCCCTCCTAGTCTCTAATCTTGCCGATGTTCAAGTTCTTTGCCTGTTTTGGGGTGTGTTTGTTTTTCTGTTGCAGGAAAATGCATTTATTTCTTCCCTCAGCCTTTCTGATAGTGGTTCTAATAGGTGATCATCTGACTGAAGCAGTTTTGCAGGAAATACTCTGGACCCTTTTAAGGGACATCTGTATCTTTCAGAAAAAGAGAATGCACAACTTCCGTCTTGGGGAAAATGCTGATCCTCATCAGAGAGCCTTTTTATTCAGGGAAATATCAGGTGTCAAGGAGTTAGCAAGCTGGTTTCCTGTGCTTTCCAAACCAAAAGGGGTAAGGGGGGATTTATATCCACTTATTTTCTATCTGAAAACACATACTGTAACCAAAATCAATATGTGAAAATTCAACATATCAAAAGAATATGGATGTCCTACTATTTTATATGTCTCTAATTGTTTAGAATCTGGAGAGTCCCATTTTAGACAGAATAACAACAAAAAATTATACATTATGGCCTTCCTTAAAATGATTCAAGGAGGCAGAATAAAAGATATTCCTTATAAAGAGTCAAGGAGTTGGAATAAAAGCAAATGTTAAGATAACTCAAATGTCTGTGTGAAATAATTCATAAATCTAAATCAAGCACTTTCTTCTGGGATTATATACTTATGTAATTACTGCTATTAGAGTAACTAAGCAGCAAGAGATACAATAGTGATTTTCAACCTTTTTCATCTCATGGCACACATAAATGAATTACTAAAATTCTGTTGCATACCAAAAAAAATACATATTTTGCTGATGGATCTGACAAAAAAAATAGGTATAATTTTGACTAATTCTCACTGGACAGCCATTGTTGTGTTGGCTGTTGTTATATATATTTTTTTTTATTTGACAGTTAAGGGAAAAGAGGTCAGATGGCCCTGACTAAACAGTCAGGTATTGCATGTTTTAAAAATTCATGAGTCAAAGTGCCTGCTATGGCACACCAGTTGAAAATTGCTGTGATCGATACATACTTGGATAGAGTTTGAAGAAAGGTATCATTAACCATGCACTTATTGCTAATAACGTGATTTATATTCAAGCCACATTATTCAAGTGATATAAATTTTACAAATCAGTATTATATAAAATAATGATATTATGATTAGCGCAGTGTTAACAGAGGCAATGCCTTTCAAGCTGGCCTTTAAAGGATAAGGAGCATTTCCCCCCAGTATAGAAGGAGATTCCAGTATAACAGAAAGAAACCAGCAAGGAACTAAAAACTTGTAAAAATTAAAGTGCAGGGAGTATTTGAAGACTTTGAGATTGAAACAGGGTTGTAGGTGTACCACAATTTTTTCAAAAGCTTTTTTAAAAGCTGTGGTACATTTACACAATGGAATACTATGCAGCTATAAAAAAGAAAACTCTCTGACCCTTTGAGACAGCACGGAGGGACCTGGAGAGTATTATGCTAAGTGAAATAAGCCAGTCAGAGAAAGACAAGTATCACAGGATCTCACTTATATGTGGAATCTAATGAACAAAATAAACTGATGAATAAAATAGATCCAGAGACATGGAAGCATGGAACAGACTGACGAATCTAAAACAGGGCCGGGGGGGGCGGGGCAGGAATAGATTAACCAAAGAATTTATATTTGTAACCCATGGACACAGACAATAGTGCAGTGAAGGCCAGGGGTC